ATCCTCTCCTGGGCCGAGCTCGCCTTGAAGACCGCCCCGGCGCCGCCCTGCTCGTTGATCTCACCGGTTGCGCCCCAGGAGGCAAGGTACTGCCGGAACACGGCGCTGATGCTGCCCTGCTCGGTATCAGGCGAGTAGGCCAGGAGCACGGGGCCGGTGAGCGTGTTGCCCGGGTTGAGCTCGTCGATCTGGGGGTCGTCCCAGCCGGTCAAGTTGCCCGACCAGAGCCTGGCCACCGTGGGTCCGTCGAGCACGAGCTGGGAGGGGAGGCCGGCCAGGTTGTAGACCAGCACGACGGCGCCCCCGACCACCGGGAGCTGTGCCACGGTCCGGCCGGGCAGCACCTGCGACTCGTCGACGGGGCCGTGGGTCGTTATATACGAGAAGACCTGGTCGTTCAAGTAGGAAACAGCCTGATCGGTGGTGTTCGTGTCTGCCCACAGGACGCTGAAGTCGTCGCGCGTGAACGAGTAGCTAGTTATGATGGACCCAAAGAACAGGCCGTCCTCTCCTCCGCCGGTAATGGACTGGGCATTGGCACTTCTTATTAAGAGCGACTGCTCGCTGCCGTCGAGGTAAGGGTGAGGGTCGGAGAGCACCAAGAGCAGCACAAGCAGGCACCAGTCCAAGGGCTTCATGGCCCCTCTCTCTTGAACAGCAGCACGAACAAAACTATCCACTACTTGCAACCGACAGCATGCCATGACGCACACAGCGCACCGAAACCCGAAAAACCATACACCCGACACCATGATGATAAGAGCGACGAGCTAAAAGCGTTCCACCCCAAAATAATCGGCCAATGATCTCACGCAGCGCCAATTCTCATTGGCCGAGCCTGTGTTGCAACCACACATTAAATGGTGAACGTGGCACAGTCGCATTGACACAGCGGAGGTCACAAATCACCGCCAACCACTGGCCCGCGCAACAAGGAGAGCTACAGGATAAAACCAAGCTTCGCGTACCATTCGAACTCCTTCACCTCACTTGAACAACTCCACACCTCGCTCACAGCAACCTTGTACACTTTATTTAACCCCGACCGTTGCTTTGCTCTACGCAACATGCCTCGCGCCGCTGGTGCTGCCCTATTCCTCTTCATCTCCTTCGGCGTGCTCTTTGCAGTCGGCTTCGGCGCGACGCACGACATCGTCGTGAGAACTTCGGAGGGCTTCATCGGAGGAGCCAAGACCTCGCGGGGCTTCGAGTTCCGTGCGGTGCCCTTCGCCGCGCCGCCCGTCGGCGAGCTCCGGTTCGCGCCGCCCCAGGAGGTGGAGCCCTGGGAGGGCGTGCTCAACTCGAGCCGCATCCCCTTGGCCTGCCCCCAGCCCAGGACCGACAATGGACCCACGGGCGAGGACTGCCTCTATGCGAGCATTTACCTGCCGCACTCCTTCGAGCACGACAAGAGGCCCAGGCGCGACGTGGTCATCTTCTGGCACGGCGGT